CAGGGGGACCTGAAAGGATGACCGCCAGGGGTTGGAGAGGAGTGCAGTCTGTGCCCCATTTACTTTCAGCTGTAAACAATCAGCAATGTGCCATCTGTGGGGCTGGCTTTGGGGAAGTGGACACCTGTCTTGCTGGGAATTGCACTGATATACCCCAACTCATTACCCACCAGTCACAGAACAGCTATCAACTCTTAAAAGCTTTTTGATCACTACTGCTGTCATTTCATTAGGAATCCTGTCATCACCTTCAAGCTTCTCTTTGCCTTTAAGACTGTTCACAAATCTGCTCCTTTGTTCTCATCTCTTATCACATCTAGCTTCCATTTCATAGATTCTAGGGCCAGAAAGAATCACTGTGATCATTTAGTCTGCTTCTTGCACAAATGGCTCCATGCTTTCTTTCAGGATGCCCCTTGTGCATAAAATGCTGTCTTTGAATGAATCTATAAGGCCACTAATCTCTCCTCCTTCCTGTCCCTCCTCCAGAGCCACTTCTGCTGTGATATTTACAAGAAATCAGCAGGGCTAGGGGTGTAGTGCTTGGGGATTAGCTGGTTTTTATAAACACTTAGATGATTTAGAACCACTGTGTTGTGCAATTGCTAATCTGTGTAATTATGTGATTTTATTGTTTCTTACATCTCCCCCTCACATTTCCCTTCTGTTTGTTACTCACATGTCGCATCTTGTATAGAATAGAATGTAAGTACTTCAAGGTAAGCGCTGTGTCTTCCTATACATTTGCACAGTGCCTAGCAGGAGGGGGCCTGATTTCATTTGGGGACATTGGGCATTACCAAAATCCAGGAAAAGAGAAATGCAGGCCTTGTTTTGGAATGTTTTAATCAGCAAGGAATCTCAGGGGTCAGCTGTAGAGCTTGTCGAAAATTTTTCAATGGGCTATTGTCCCATGGGAAAATGCTGATTTACTGCTGTTGAAATGTTCCCTGGGAACATGTGAATTGTCTCAGATCTTCCTCAGAACATAGGCAGGTTTCAAAACCAGCATGGATTTTTGCCATCCTTAGTAGCCTCAGTGGTGGACTGCCCTGGAGTTGAGACTCTTGGGCATCCAGGCCCGATGGCTGCACAGCAAGGCGTCTGGGAGCCAGGGCCGAGCCGAGAGCTTCAGAGCTTTGGCTTCTAAGAAGACTTTGATTAGAAATTTTCTAAATGAAATGTTCAGGTTATTTCGAAATGTATTTTTCAGAATTACCCTTCTGCAGGAAATTTCAAAGTTGCTACTTTTCATTTTGAAACAGTGACTCTCTCCAAAAAAGTTGGAATTTCTCACAGAAAGGGGCATTCTGACTTTCAAACAACTCTGGTTAGGAATTGATGGGGTTGTCACTTGAGGCATATGCATAGGGATAATGTCTCCACAGAATTCGCTGGGAGTTATGTACATAGGTGTGGCTGACACTGCTGTCAGTTGATAAGTGCATGGTTACCTGATTCATTCCCAGCACAGCTGATAATTGTGGGCAGTTGAGTTTTCATTCGTGATTGTCACAAGGCTCAAAAAAGACCAGTTATGGTCTGTCTGGTGAACTAGTTGCCAGTGCAAAGTACGGCCTGCAGGAGGCCTGTGTTCAATTTCTGGCCTCAGTCTCCCATTGTGTGGACTAGATGCCTATTTGGAAAAATGAGAGAGAAGAGAAGAGAGAATGTTGACTTGGCCTTGGGTTAGTCCCCTGGATGGATAATTATCTAATAAGTATGGAGTGTATATTATCAGTAAAGAATGACTTTCCTCTGAGAGCACCACAACACAGCTCTGGGAATGCTGGCTGTGCACTGGAAGGGGTGAAGTTTTAGTCTGGACTGCAGTTACAAACCAGATGCACCTGCACAGCAAAGCTGGCCACCAGAAGGGGGCACTGCTAGGTGGACACATCTCCCCAAGTGTTTGATCACCAGTGGGCAGGCTTAAGGCAACTGGACTTGAACAGAAGCATTTGTGACTTTGAGAGAAGGTGCTTACTGCATCTTTCAATGCTTCTCTTTCTGAGTTTTATTTCGTAAGGCCCCAGAACATTTTGAAAAGACATTTCGGAACTTACTGGAAAGAAAGACCTGAGTATGCAGACATCACTGGGGGTGTGGGAGTTCTCAACCAACAGAATGCAAACACAGCTCCTACAGAGTGGGGGGAAAGTTAGAAAGGCTTGTGGAAATGACTTTAGAAAAACCTCAGCCCTGGACTGTGTCCTCCCTTCTACTAGGTGGTGAGGACTCCCCGACTCTTCTCCTCTCCAGACAGTGGTAGCTCCCTGTGGCTTGTCTTCCCTGGATAGGAGTAGTTCCTCTAATCCTTCTCATAGCTCCTGTCGTCCCTCAGACACTGTCCTGGCCTCCCCGCACTCCATCTCCGACTCCTACCTCTAACTAGTGGGTGTATATATATCTATATCTATATATCTATATATATCAGTTTGCTCTTCAAATCATGTGAAAATGGAGGAATGATATGAAAACTTATTGGCCCAGGTGTCTCAGCTGTGCTGAGAAGGAACCAAGTAACAGCACATTGAATAACTGCTGGCAGTTCCCCTGATCACCCTCAGGAACATTAGTGACATGCACTGCATTGAAGCTCTCATGGATGTTACACCTACACATGTCTCAGGCTACAACCCTATTGCCCTCTGATCCTCAGAGTTTCTTGGCTGATTAAATCATTCTTAGGTTGGGGTCTGAATGGCTCAGAGAATTTTCGAATGACTTTGTAGTCTTTCACTTGTAGGTCAACCAGTTTGATATTGACCCAAAGTCTGTAGCACCTGAAGGCTGGTCAGTGGCCTTATGTAAAATGAGTTAGTGGGAGGCACGGTGTGCCTTTGCAGGTATCCTGCCCGCAGCTCCCTCTGGCTTCTTGGAATAATTTGTTCCCATGCCAGAATACTTAAAGTAAGATCCCCCTAGTTGGTATCATTTATTAAGTCTTATTGGCACTTTGTTCACCCAGTTCCAAACCTTGTTCCCTGTAAATCAGGAGTCCTACAGCCATCCTTCTTTGGCTTGTGCTGTGATTAAAGCAGGGGTTTTTCTCCATGACTGAGGAGTCCCACGGCCTTCCTGCTGGGGGCCTATACTGTGATTAGAGCCAGTTTCCAGCTCTACTTCACAAAGCACCTCTTCTCTCCTTTGGTTCCGGGGCCTCACAGCCCTCCTGGGGCTCTGCTTAGCAGACAGGCTGTCTCCTTTCTGAGCTGTCTGTCTTTTCTGCTCCTTTTAGCTTTCTGGGAGCCTCTCTCTTTTCTCTAGGTCTGGACTGAGTTTTAAGCACATGACCTACCTGTTATGTCGCTACACTAATTTTTCCCACCTGAGGAGGAGGGTTGAATGAGTCATAAGTGAGGCTAGACCCATTACCTCATAAAAGGGCCAGTCACCCTGTGACAGTGAGTCTCAGTTCATTGCCTAGTGGGACAGGTGCGCACTTCACAAAAAACATCATGACAGTGGGCGCTGGTTGGTCATCTTAATGGCTCTCATATAAGAGTGAGTGGGCCATGGGCACTCCTCTCCCCACAATAATTTTCCTTCCCTTTATGCCATTTTTAGGTAAATCTCCTCCCTCTGCCATCTTCCCTCTGTCCATTATTTGGCTGCCTTTTCTCCTTTGGAAGTCTTCCTTCTCTCCCAAACAAATCCTTCTCTCACTCACCTCCTGTGCAATTTCATACTGTATAGAGAGAGGCATCATGTTACAGAGCAGGGCGGTTTTACGCTCTCTCTCTCTCTATGGCATTGGTAAGACCACAGCTTATATTCTGCAGTCAGTTCTGGGCATCTTGTACCATAAAGCTGTCCAGTTCAGAGGGCGCCTGAGGAAGGAAGTTAGAAAGCAGCATCTGAACAAGGGACTGGAGAAACTGATTTGTAAGGATTAGATTTTTAAAAACTGAACTGGTAAGATTCATTTCTGGTATAACTCTACTCAAGTCAATGGAGTTACACCAGGATGAACTTAGGACAATGTGTATAGCTTGGCTAAGTAGTGATTAAGACATGATAAATCTCCACAGATATTTGAAGGATGTAATAGTAATTGTTGGGGGGAGGGGTGTTGAACTTGTTTAGAGTGATGAAGAAGTTATTCCCTTTTAAAACCTTTTTCTCCACCCTCATGTCTATTCCTGTAACTTACACTCCAGTATACAGACACAGAGTCCTTGTTCCAAACCCCCACTCAGCATGACTAACTATATCTCTACTCTCAACTTTCCTTTTTATTCTCACCCTTTATGCTTCCTGTCCAGAAGCCAAATCTGAATGTATTTCAATAGATCTCTTGTGCCTTTTGACAGTAAATCAGGCAATTCTGTATTATATCAAATGCTTCCCTGAATCCCAGATATCTTATGTCTGCCAGTTCCTTAATGTACAGCAACGGTTCAGTTGAACGGGCAGGTGTAACAGCTGAGAACACTCCTCTTTGTTCCTCTCACTAGCCAGTTTACAGAGCACCCTCAAATCCCTGTTTGCTAAACTGAGATTTCTGGGGGCATGAACCATGGAGGGCACCATAAGGGTCTAAGATTATTTCAATACCTTACTTTCCTCATCTGTCCCACATTGCCTGGGATTCAGCAAGGGGGGAGAGGGGTCAGTGCTACTTCTTTCAGAACTAAAGGACTTTTTCCTCCTGTATTTTTCATAGTAATACTTATTTCCAGTAAGCTGATTTGTAGTCACGCTACCCTTCATCTCCCTCATTACCAACTGAGCACCAGCTCGATCCAAGTCCTCCTGGTAGGGCAGTGTCCAGGAAACCTGCGGCGCTGCTGCCTGATTGCCAGCCTCTTAGTCACCAATCTGTCAGCTTTCACCAGCTCTGGTTTTGCATCTCTGGTTAATCCTGTCCTCAAAAGGGATATGTCTCATTTCTTGACTTCCCTCTTGTCAATGTTGTTAATTTACTCGTATTCCTCCCAATGAGATGAGACCCAGTGATGTCCTTATTGATTTCGGCCTGTCTTTATTCCTTTCAGAGTTCCGGCTGGGGATTGTGTGGAATGATGGCTGCTGCGGAACCCCTGACTGCCTTCTCACGGTGGTACCTCTATGCCATTCATGGCTATTTCTGTGAGGTGATGTTTACGGCTGCCTGGGAGTTTGTGGTCAACTTTAACTGGAAGTTCCCAGGTGTCACCAGTGTCTGGGCGCTCTTCATCTATGGCACCTCCATCCTCATCGTGGAGAAGATGTACCTGTATCTGAAAGACAAGTGTAACATTTTAGTGCGATGCCTCATTTACACCCTCTGGACATACCTTTGGGAGTTCACCACTGGCTTCATCCTGCGCCAGTTTAATGCCTGCCCTTGGGACTATTCACAGTTTGATTTTGACTTCATGGGCCTGATCACCCTAGAGTATGCCATCCCATGGTTCTGTGCTGCATTCATCATGGAGCAGCTGGTTATCAGGAACACCTTGCGCTTGCGATTTGATGAAAATGCTGAGCCAGGGGACCCCAGCACCACAATCGCCTTGGCCAATGGCCATGTCAAAACCAATTGAACAATAACCCAACGCCACACTTAAAGTGAGAGAGCCCGCCCACATCCCAGACTGGTCTCAAAGACTGATACGTCCTGTATGATACACAATCCCCTTTATGATGGGGTCATGCATGGGATATAGCAGAATAAAAATGGAACCAATAGATTTTCTATGGATTTTACATTTTTGGCCACAAGAAGCAGTGTCAGCTACTTCTTGGTTAGGTAGTTTCTGACTTTTAACTTATTATGGAAAAAAAAGGCCTGTAAGCTGCATTTTACTGTATGTGGAGAAATGAGAGAAAATGCTACAGTTGAAATGTATACAAAAAACAAACTAGTGGATGGGCATAGACGCTCCGGCTAAATTAGTGATTTGGCTTACTCCATTAGGCAATATTCAGGTGCTTGCTTGCAACCAATACCTCCCATGGGACCTGAGATGCTGCAGGATCAAGGAAAATCCATCTGCTGTTGAGAACGACCCAACAGTGGTGCTCTACTGGGGAGGTAGACAGCGCCCCCTCTTTTGGTTTCCCTGACCTTCCCCTGAGGTTCTTTATTGCACCATGGTATGTTATGGTGCTGGACATCTTGCTGGATTTATATGAAACTTGTACTTTTTGAATTCTCAGTCCTGATACTCACTCGAGAGTTTTCCCCACTCCTTTTTATAAATAAAAGGCCTTTTCTGCCGGGTGAATTCCACCATACTCTGTGCAATCCGAATCACGGCAAAGTGGCCAAAGAGAGAAAAAGCTGAAGTCTTCCCCTCACAGTGGAACTCATCACAAGGGCTGCTCCAAGCTCCAGCTCCATTTCCAACCAGGCAAACCCAATGGAGATGCCACCTGGGGTCTTCTGCCTTCCTTCCCAGGGATTTCTCTGTCACTAAGGATGCTGATGACTTAATTCTGACTGCAGCCCCTTGCACTGCCTGATGTCAGAGTCCTCATTTGACTAAGGCAGCAACCAGGAATCAGTCGGAGTCCTCTGGAACAGACTCTATCGCCTGTGTCTATTTCCTTCTGCACCAGTTGATCTTGTCTCAGCTTGGTCCAGTGTTCTCCTCCGAGTACTGACTTTATTTTTCCTTCCCAGATGCTATTTTAAACTAAGTACAGCAAACCCTCTCCATAAAGCTGATTTGGGGCAGCACAGGATGTGCCTCAGTGCCCAATATCAGGGAGTATGCTAAAAAAGAAAGTTTCTAAGGAGCACAGTAGGACTATTCCTCGATTTCCTCCAGTTGAGGATGGGGTTGGGTTGCGAGAGGGGCAGCAGGGAGATGGAAGGGCTGCAAGGTACTGTTGCTCTATTTTAGAGCTATCTCAGCTAGAGAGAGTTTCAAATTTAGCCACTTGGGAACAATCCTGAGGCTGTGGGGGAGGTGGTGGCATGAAAGATGCATAGCTCTGGCAGCCACAGATTAATTGTCCTGAGGACTCTTCTTGGCTGCTGGCATAAGCAACAAGGATGCACTGTACCACATGTTAGTCTTCTCTCACTCAGAGCTTTATGAGGAGGGTGTGCTGTAAATAGGTATATGAGGCCTGATTAATTCCAGGTGTCATTCCACTGAAGTCAGTGGCATTGTACCAGCAATGAATTTGGTTCAAGATGTGAATGTGTGTGTGATTGTGGAATCTAGCTTTTCTGTTGTGTTGGGAATGGCTGAATTATTACCATGTTGGTCCATGACTGTTCTCTTTAGCCAGTACTCAGCTCATAAATCTGCCCATTGGTCTGTGGAATTCCATTCCAGAGGGAAAAGAAACTCTGTTGCTATCAATGGAATTGTTTGTAGGTAACGCTGCTGCTTCTGAACAAGAATCAACACACACAGTGTTAATTTTTTCTGTACTGCACAGAGTGCAATTGTTTTATTCCTCCCTATGCCCCATTTCACATGACATCCTTTGCCGGCAACGGACATGTGAAAGCAGTGGAAACAAGGAGTTAATCAGCTCTGTCCTGTGGTATGCAATGCCTCCGGAAATACCCAGAACATAGAGAGAGGTATTAGTATTCCCTTTTTGTAGTTCATTAAATTAAACCAACAAACAAAAAACAGAGAACAGAAATGTGTTTTCCATGCTCTGATGCCACTACCATGAAATCAAAGAAATAATAGGTTCACTTTATCAGCCAGGGAAATGATGGTTTCAAATATTTAGATCTCGGCAAAATAATCACTTTGGGTATACAAATAGCATATGGGGGCAATTCATAGGCAGTAGGGTCAGATATTAGGGGGTGGGGTGAGGGAGAGGAGGTGCAGACAGGAACTGAGACATGCCTATCCATTGTGACCGTTGCATTCATGAAGAGAATGTGTGAGGGTGACTAAGGTCAGTGTCTAAATCCAAGGACCCTTCTCGCTGCCCAGTTGAACTCTGGTGTGGCACTGCCTTCCATGCAGCATGCAATGTCTGCGCCAGGCCACGCCCTCACTTTGGAGCAGGTCGCACTGGAACTGTGCCGTTACAGAAACATTAAGAAGGTTTAAGTGGCTTAGTGAATTGGCAGCACAACCAGTGACCGCACAGTTATGACTCCGTGGTGGGGGCAGCTATCCACGGTGGTGACCAGCACCTCAATCATGTGTTCTTTGGCTTTAGAAACTCCCCAAGTGCAACTGTTCTTGCACTGCCGCATAACAATCAGTGGTTCACTTAAGGAGCGGTCCCTGAGTGGCCTTTTACATGTGGTTATATCATGCAAATCAGACCCAGTTGCCCCCAAGTTACCACTGTGGCACCTATTCAAGCTTATTTTTCACCAATGACTGACAAATACCGCTCAGCTCTTGCATCCTCATGGGGCTCTAATTTACCCACAGAAGTGCACTTTACTTGCAGTTTGCACAGCAGGAACTGAATTGGACCCAGTACATTATTAAATCACTGTGTAGCATCCACTGGATCACTCTCCTGCTATTACTGGGTACCCTTGCACCTTCCAACAAAGACACCATTGGCCACATTTCCAAAAGTGCTGAGTGCTCTACAGTTCCTGTTTTCAATGGCACCTGCTAGGTGCTGAGCACTTCTGAAAAGCTGGCTATGTATCTGCTGCTACACCATGCAGGTCTCATTTCTCTTTCTGAAGAGCAATGCGGCTGCAGTCAGAGATTTAATCTCCCCTTTAATACAAGTGAATACTACTGATAACATTTTACAACAAGTTTCAGAGGAACAGCCGTGTTAGTCTATATTCGCAAAAAGAAAAGGAGTACTTGTGGCACCTTAGAGACTAACCAATTTATTTGAGCATGAGCTTTCATGAGCTACAGCTCACTTCATCAGATGCATACCGTGGAAACTGCAGCAGACTTTATATATACACAGAGAATATGAAACAATACCTCCTCCCACCCCACTGTCCTGCTGGTAATAGCTTATCTAAAGTGATCAACAGGTGGGCCATTTCCAGCACAAATCCAGGTTTTCTCACCCTCCACCCCCCCCCCCCACAAATTCACTCTCCTGCTGGTGCTAGCCCATCCAAAGTGACAACTCTTTACATAATCAAGTCGGGCTATTTCCTGCACAAATCCAGGTTTTCTCACATCCCCCCCACCCCCATACACACACAAACTCACTCTCCTGCTGGTAATAGCTCATCTAAGCTGACCACTCTCCAAGTTTAAATCCAAGTTAAACCAGAACATCTGGGGGGGGGGGGGTAGGAAAAAACAAGAGGAAACAGGCTACCTTGCATAATGACTTAGCCATTCCCAGTATCTATATAAGCCTAAATTAATAGTATCCAATTTGCAAATGAATTCCAATTCAGCAGTTTCTCGCTGGAGTCTGGATTTGAAGTTTTTTTGTTTTAAGATAGCGACCTTCATGTCTGTGATTGCGTGACCAGAGAGATTGAAGTGTTCTCCGACTGGTTTATGAATGTTATAATTCTTGACATCTGATTTGTGTCCATTTATTCTTTTACGTAGAGACTGTCCAGTTTGACCAATGTACATGGCAGAGGGGCATTGCTGGCACATGATGGCATATATCACATTGGTGGATGTGCAGGTGAACGAGCCTCTGATAGTGTGGCTGATGTTATTAGGCCCTGTGATGGTGTCCCCTGAATAGATATGTGGGCACAATTGGCAACGGGCTTTGTTGCAAGGATAAGTTCCTGGGTTAGTGGTTCTGTTGTGTGGTATGTGGTTGTTGGTGAGTATTTGCTTCAGGTTGCGGGGCTGTCTGTAGGCAAGGACTGGCCTGTCTCCCAAGACTTGTGAGAGTGTTGGGTCATCCTTTAGGATAGGTTGTAGATCCTTAATAATGCGTTGGAGGGGTTTTAGTTGGGGGCTGAAGGTGACTGCTAGTGGCGTTCTGTTATTTTCTTTGTTAGGCCTGTCCTGTAGTAGGTAACTTCTGGGAACTCTTCTGGCTCTATCAATCTGTTTCTTTACTTCTGCAGGTGGGTATTGTAGTTGTAAGAAAGCTTGACAGAGATCTTGTAGGTGTTTGTCTCTGTCTGAGGGGTTGGAGCAAATGCGGTTGTATCGCAGAGTTTGGCTGTAGACGATGGATCGTGTGGTGTGGTCAGGGTGAAAGCTGGAGGCATGCAGGTAGGAATAGGAAACCTACTGACCACTATTCCTGCTGGAAATGGCCCACCTGTTGATCACTTTAGATAAGCTATTACCAGCAGGACAGTGGGGTGGGAGGAGGTATTGTTTCACATTCTCTGTGTATATATAAAGTCTGCTGCAGTTTCCACGGTATGCATCTGATGAAGTGAGCTGTAGCTCACGAAAGCTCATGCTCAAATAAATTGGTTAGTCTCTAAGGTGCCACAAGTACTCCTTTTCATTTTACAACAAGGGCGCCCAAACTGCATGACAGCGAGGCCCACATTAGCAGCTCCTCAGGAACCTGGGAGCTATACCTAATTTGCAGAGACATTTACCAACACCCTCCCCCTCCCCCCCCCCCACAAAGGCCTAATATTTGCTTGTACATGTATCTTCTTCAATAGATTAAAATTGCCTGTTTGAGTTCACCAGCAATAAAAA